TATATATATATATATAAAATTAATACATAGAAAAAATGTATAATATACAAAAGTACAATAACAATTTTCTGTAAAAAGCAACAATGTGAGATTAATACTTAATTGGGTTTTGAAATAAAAATTTTTTTACAATATTGTAGTGTTATACAACTATGGTAACAATATTATAATTTTATTTATATATAATTAAATGAAAACAATCGTATAGAAAATAAAAAATTGCACATATTTATGTAACAAATTATGTTACTAGAAAAAAAATGAATAAGTCATATTTAACTTTGGCAAATATTCCAAAAAGTATAAGTTCAGCAAAATAATTATAAACAATAGTTAAAAATTTTATGTCGTATAAGAAAACAATAGTATAAATACAATAATATCACAATAATTCAACTAATTTAGCATTAAGTATATGTTGTTTGTCAAATAAAATAAAATGGTATAAATTAAAACCTATAAACAATAAATAATTTTTATTTTATCTAATATATTTATTCAGTTCAAATATTTAAACTTCTTCGGCTATTGCTCTTTCAGAATCATTTTCAATTCCATCCCATTTTATATCTGTTTGTTTAACTACATTACTGTTGTTGTAAGAATCGTCCTTTATTACATTTTAGAAAATGATAAATATTAATCTACACTTTTTTATCTAGAATACTAACTTGTTGAGTAGTGAAACCAGTTGATGTGGTACTTGACCAAATTCCATCACCCCAAGTCGTTATAGTAGCAGTTTCAGAATGCCACTGTGTCTAAAGTTATTTAAATAAAAAATATAATTAGTTCATTAATTACTGAAAATTACAAAATATTTAACTCAAAAAGCCACAAAAATCTTACATACATATTACAAAAAACACTTTCTTTACAATGTAGATCTTTTAATACTAGGCACTTTATTTGTCTTAATAAAATAAGTTTTTTGGAGTTATTTTGTAGTAACATGTATTACTATTTATCTGTTATAAAATAATTTTTAAGTCCTTCCTTTATACCTTCTAAGGGTGTCAACTTAATTTTTTTAAATGACAACATATGTATTAATTTAGCTTATAAAGTAGAAAACTATAGAATTATGAAAATTAATAGTCGATAACAACTTTTGGACCAGGGCATCTAACGATATTCATATTTTTGTACCTAGATGTGAGGATAAGTGCATCCAAGAAATGACTTATTTTATATTACTATTATTCTATTACTTTATTTTAATACATATATTGTCATTAAAAAAATAAAAATCATTTTATAACAGATAAATGGAGTTATATATGTAACTAATAAAATTCAATAATTTTTTTTAAAATTTCATTATTTTATGAGAAATTGAGTGGATAGTTATAAGAATCACCTTGTATACCCCAATAATGTTATCGCTTAAGGGTATCACCATTTATTACAATGTTTACATTGCTTGATTTTCTCCCCTTTTACTGTATCTTTAGGATATATAAATGATTACTCTTAGATGTTACTAAAGAAATATCATAACTCTTAAAAATTCTTGCTAATCCATTCGAAATTCCCAGATAATATAAAATAAACGACTTAATTATATTTTGAATAATTAAGAAAAAGATAATAAAATTACCAACAAAAAAATGTATTTTAGATTAGGTTAATAGTTAGGAATATCTATATATATTAGTCAATAATGAAAGGAGTAAATTGATATTTATTTAAAAATTTAGTTATATTTGTCTTAAAATTTATAATTCTACTTTAAAATAAAAATTGTAAACAAAACATACAAAAAGGGTAATTTTTCATGATGTAATATGAAAAACAAAAAGTTTGAACTAAATTTCCCTAAAATTTAAAAATATTATTTTTATCACTTGTATCTTATATTTAATAATTAAAAAAATAAAATTGAGCATAAAACTAAGCTATTTATAACATAAAAAAGTTAATATCTACCAAAAATTGTTGTTCTTTAATTTGTATATCTTTTTCAATTTGTGCCAATTCTTCAGACAATTTTTCAGTTTCTTTAGCAGCAACATTGTGGGTAGCAAGCTGTACATATTTTTTACAAATAAAATTTTGTCTTAAATTTATTTTAATTGCTATCAAAACATTTATATTATATTCTAAGGATGTTTGCAATTTTACAAATGTTTTAACTTCAATAAATTGAAATTATTATATTTACTATTTAAGCCAGTATATTATGAAATTCTCCTTAATTATATAATTTGTTTTTTTTTCAAGTTAAATATTTTATGAAATTATAATAATAAAATATATTTTTATAGAAACATTAAAAAATGTAACTTAAATTTAAGTCACTATATATGAAAGTTATAAAATCGGTCTCCACGGTCAATTTTTTACTTATAAAAACAAAAAATATAAACTGAGCCTAAATTTTAACACTTGTAAAATAGTTAGTTCCTTAAATTTTATATAAGCTCACTTTTAAGTCATTGATTTTTTTTTCTAAATTTTTCAATTGATGTTTCATTTTTTGAGACTCGGCAATTAAACTATCATGTTAAAATATAAAAATAATTAAATTGTTTTAATTAATAATTAAATAATTAATCATAAAATATTACACAATGGGAGAAAAAATATAACTAACTTTTTAGGTGTTTTATGACTACTAAAAAAGTTGGATGGTTCCATCATACCAGCTGGACTGTGAATAGTAATATAACTCTGACCAATTGCTCCAACTGGTGATGCAACAATATGAGCAGCAGCTGGGTAGCCCTGTGGAGAATTAAAAAACCAAGATGCAGCTACTGGGCTATTTCTGGCTCCACGTAGAGTACCCAAGGGTGTACTAATAGTTGTTGTAGTAGTTGAACTGAAAAATTGAGCTTGTGCTGCTGCTGCCGCAGCTGCTTGTGAAGGTATTGGCAAACTACATGGACGACGTATGGACTTTCCATTTCCATTAGTCTGATTATTAATAGCTGATTGTGGGGATTCAGCTGTTGGATTTCCACCATTGCCACCAATTGGACCATATTTTCCATTAACTGCTATATCAAATGGAACAAATTCATCTGGATCTGCCAAAATTGAATCTGATCTGTAATGTTCAAATATTTAACCATACATATAACTAAATTTAGTAGCAAAAAAATGACTAGCCTACATTAAATAGGATAGAAATTTATGACATTAGTAAATTACATAGAAGTTTATCGTAATTTAAATATCTAATTAACTAAAAGATAGGAGTGAAAAAACTCAAATACTGCAAGATCTTTTTTAATATTTAAAATAATTATGTAACATGTAATTTAAGAAATTTATGTAAAACAATTTTTCTTCTATGACTGTTTCTCAATAATAGATAAAATGATTAAAAAAAAAAAAAAACTTACCGAATTAACATTGGTCGGCCAGTTTGAATATTTACAGGAGAAGGCAAACCATTTTTTTGGTGAAATAAACCATTATCCCACATTGAATAGCGATCAAAGTCCTAAGAGATAATAAAATATATTTAAATGCGCAGCATCAAAACCAATCATATCACTAATTATAATTAACTATATTCTAATTTTTTTGACTATTTACAAATTATTACATTAGAAGTTAGAAAATCAAAATGATTGGTATAATATATACAAAGAAGTTTTTAGTTTCCAATCATTTAAACAACAATTTGACAAGCTTGTTAATAAAATTTTTTTTAATGATTTTATAACAGTTCTAATAATAATAATCAAACATATTTTATAAACATACTCAGAAGCAATATTTTTAAATATATACATTAGCATTGAATAAAATGTTGACTTTTAATGAAGGTGTAATTTATTAAGAATACTACTTATTTTGTTAAATAATGATAAAAATTTACTAAATAGTCTTTATTTTTATTAACTACAATGAATATTAAGTTTATTGTAAAAGAAAAATCTAAAAGAATAATTATTAAAGGTAACTTATGGAAGTTAAATTAGAACTTACAATTATTTTTATACTGTTATAAGTAGAATTGACTAAATAAAATGTTGACTGGCCTAACCAACCAGTTTTGTAATATTACTATTGAGATATTAGCATTTTAAGATTTAGAAAAAGTAAGGAGAGAGTTAATATTTATCAACACTCTTATTTTTTTATCATTTAGCACAGATACTACAATGATACATACTACAATGTTGTGAACTCCTTTTGACTATATCTAAAAATTATGATAACTGAAAAAGTAATATTCCAAAAATAATTATAGTCATTAGTAAATATTACCAAAAATAGTTATAGATTCCCATGTAACTTAAAAATTATTTTTAAAACCATCATTAGAAATAGTTTTTTTTTTACAACAAACTTGATATTCATTGTGAATTACAAAAATAAAGATAATTTCATAAAATGTTATCATTACTTAATAAACATATGGGATGTTATACTCTTAATAAATCACACTGTCAAATATTTTGCATTTACTGAGATCGTATAAAAATAGATATTGACTAATTATAAAATAAGCATTTTATTTTTAAAATAGTTTAAATGAATCACAGGTAATATAATGAGAAAATAACTTACTACTTGGTCAGGGGTTAGAGTACAAGCTGTCATAACTCTATCTATTTGACCCATTAGCTCTTGTTTGCGATTTTGAAGAGATATTAAACTTGAGGATAAATTTTTCTGCATAAATTAATTAACAGATTTAAGTGAAAAATAAAAATCATGAAAAACTGTAATTAATAGTTAAATGTATACCATTTTATTGGAATGACTAGTTATATTTTGATCCACATACATCTGATTAGTTGGATTCATCATCATATTACGAGGATGAGGTCTAAAATGAAAATTAGAAAAAAAAATAGCTCTATTATTTTTAATATAATATAAATTAAGATTTTATTTATATTAACCTATAAACATCATGACCATACTGTCCTACTTGGTACATCTGTTGTTGACCAGATTGATAGTATGCTTGACCATTTGGTACAATATACGAATGTTCCACTGGAATTGTAGCAATTTCTTTGGTAGCTAAATTTCAAAATAAACTGTTATAATCAATCTAAATTCAATTAAAAATAATAATATTCAAGTATAGTAGATTTTGGTTAATTTCTTAAACTAAAAATTGAAAGTAACTTAAATTTATTAAGTAAATTAACAATTTTTATAAGTAATAAAAATTATCTTCAAACATTTTGTTTTTGTTCTTTTTTAATTTAAAAAAACTTTAAATTATTTTACAGCACCAACAACCATAGACTTTCTGTAAAATGAAATATGAAAAATTATGAAATTACTTTCTGGTAACATCAGTGGTTTTTTATTACACATAAAATCATACTGTTCTTTGGGTAGAAACTTAGGTTTATTTGTTAAAAATTCATGATCAACACCAATGGCTATGTTTCTAGTTTTTCTGTTTTTATTTCTATACCTAGAAGGATTAAAATTTTTTTTTATATTATTAAAATTATTATCTTTTTTTTTTTTTACTTTTCTATCTCATCTTCAGAATGAGCAAATGTACAGCCTCCACCTCGTGGGCAAGTTCCACGCGTCATTAAATCTCTACACATACTAACTTTATACCTAGTAGTGTTTGCTTGATTCTGGATTAACTCATTTTTTAGACCCTTATTACTGTTTCCATGAGATTTGACAAAATCTGTCAAACCTGCTACTACTACCTTAGCGCTTTCAAGAACAGAATATAATTTATCCCATGTACACCATTCAAGACCTAAACAAAATAATCAAATTATTAATTAAATAAACAGTGAAAAAAAATTAAATACTTGGATTAGGATCAACTGCTGCTAGAAGTTCAAAATTTGATCTTAGAGATGATAGTTTTGCTGGATCTCCAGTGCGTTGTAAAGCAATAATAAGCTCTTGAACAGATTGAGAAAAAGATTGAGGGCTTTGTAATTTGTCCATAATACTCTGCATGTGTGATTTATGAGCAGAATCACCATAAAGAAGTGCTGACCATTGATCAGGAGCTATTCGAAGTCCTGCTTCAGTAGCTATTTCTACGATTTGAGCATCATGCTCACGTCTCAAATTTTCATATGTACGGAACTCTTCTTTAAGCTGCATAAGTGAAGAATCTCCTTCACGTTTTGAAACCTTCAGGAATCATAAACTCTATAAGATATATTTTTTACCTATTTTAATATTAACTAACCTTAAAACATGAAGCTCTATAAAGTAACTGAACTACATGGCCAATACTGGTTTTTGATGCTTGTGGGAAATGTGGTTCTAATCGCTGAACAACAAACATAACCAAAACTTTTCTAGACAAAGCAGAGCCATCTTCAAGAGCAAGTAAAACTAATTTTAAAACTTCTTCTTGCATAGCTGGTCCAAGGAATTGACAACCACGTGCCCTTACAGCTGCCCATAAATTAGTTGACAATTGTTGAGCACTCTGATGATGAAGTATCAATTCTGTCATACAACGTTCACCTAATGATCTTGCAGCTCTGATTGTTCTTAAACGACCTTCATTTTCTAATATTTGGCAATTAATTAGAGTAACCAATTTGCGCTGCATTGGACGAGAAAGTCCAGCACTTGTTGACTGTCCTCCACCTAATATATTCATTCATAAATACTTCATTTTTAAAAAATTAAAAAATATTAAATATATAATGTTAACTTTTACCTGTAATAAATGACTTTAAATATAAAGCAAGATGTTCTACACATTTTTTCGATTTATTATATAATTGACGTTCTTCAACCGTCATAGATTTTGATAATGATCTAGGAATGTTATCATTTATTGGTAGTGTAGCTCCAACCAATTGAAGTAAAGCATAATTAATTGGAAGGTGGTCAATTTCTATGTTAATCAAATTCTAAAAAGCAATATATTTAATTGACAAATAATACAGATATAAAGACTAAATTAAAACTTTAAATGTTAACTGTTTCAGAATTATTTGACAAAATTACTTCAGATATTTACAATGTAAGAAATTATGAAATGTTAAGTAATATCTAAAATAATACTTTGAAACTAAATTAAACATTTTCAATGATACATAGTTTTAATTGTAAAAATGAAAAATATTTGTGCTTTATCTTTAATAAAATAACTACAATTAGAAATACTATGTGTTTTTTTAATTTAATCATGTAAATACACATTAAACTATTTTAATATTTGATTAATAATGGTATTACATTAAAAAAAAAAAATAAAAAAAAGAGACATAAAAAATTTTCAATTTACTTGATCAAATGGACATTGTTTTTTAGGCAAATTTGAGAGGCACGATTTACATATTGTGTGAGCACATCCTAAACTTATTGGATGCCTTGCTTTAACATCAAATGCATTACAGCACACTGGGCATGCCAAAAAATCTGTCCACTGTGGTGCTTGAATGGGCATTTCTGTAGAAAATTTACAATATAATTCAAATTATATCAGTCTACTAGTATGTAGTCAGTATTAAATCTATTTACCTGTTTAATTATTTTTAATAGACTATATACACACCAGTGACATGAATAATAGATGAAATTGCTCATCAACTATGGCTTCTAATGATTGATATCGACATATTGACTCGAAGAAACCTTGGACTACGTTTAAAAGTAGAAAACAAAGGCTCTACCGCGTTTATTTGGGTATAGCAGTTGTTTATTTATATACGGGAAATACACACTTGACTGATCAAAAAAAATAATCGTCTATGTTGATTGTTGCGCGTTGGTAGCGATATAACTATACAACTAGGTTCGGACTTCGAGTGTGTTTTTATTTTTTTTTATTACAGTTTTTGTTTTTCACGTCATCATCATCTCCCCCAGTACTCACAACACAGTTTTTATTCTTGTTATCAAGACGACTATTTTTACTTTTACTTATAAGAAAGCGCGCACACTCATTAAAAAAAGTGTATGCAATAAAGCGGTAGAAAATTCCCTTCATACTGATAACAAATTATCGGTTTTAATTGTGATTAAGCTAATAATTTTCTGGTGATAAAATGTCATGAAATAAATTAGAATACTATTATAAATTGTATTTTACTACATTAGAACATATTATGTGTTAATATGTATATATTCTTAATTTTTTAGATTTTTATTATAATGGGTATTTATGGTGTGTATATTGTGTCAAAATCTGGAGGACTAATATTTAACTACGATTACAATGTTCCAAAAATTGAAACCGAACAAGCTTTTAGTTATCCTTTAGACTTAAAACTTTTACTTGAAAATAATCGTTTATTGGTTTCTTTTGGTCAACGAGATACTATTAAAGGTATGATTGGTGATTGTTTTAACAATATTGTTATTAATAACTTTACATAAATAATAAATAACTATTTTGATACTTAAAATTTATTTGACTCACCTTATTTTTATATGTCCCAACTAAACTTGTTTAGTTTACATGAAGTCATTCATTTATTATAAATCACTTTGTTAACAAATAAAAATTGTATTGAGAATATTTGTGTTTTTTTCTAGGTTCATGTTTTTCTTAATTTTTTGATCATGAAATATTTTTAACCTCTATACCTTAGAAAGGTTAATTTTTTAAATAGCAAAATTCTTAATTAATTAGTTCATTTAATAGACAATGATTTAGTTTAAAAAAATGAATGGTCAATTTAATTATTATTTTCAAGTTACTCGAAATAAAGTATACGAGTTTTAGGTTTTGTTAAAAGAAATTGTAATGAGTTTTCAGACCTATCTCGTTAAAAAATATTGTATTTCTCTTTAGTATTATCAATATTAAGATATTAATTGTTTGCATTCCAAGTCAGAATGGATTAACTGAAACAAAATTTATTATAATATTTACTTTCAAAATAAGAGTTGAAAATTTAATAAATAATGTAATAATGAAATATTATAATATTGAATTAGTCGAGACTAGTAGAAAATATCTAAATGCTATGTGATTCTTTAATTTATTGGATAATAAGATAGATTGTTCAGAAATATTCAATATTAATAATAATACTGTTTCATGTTTTAAAACAAAATTTACAATGCTCAAATTTATTTTATTTTCTTCCATATTGTTACAATTATAGTATAAATACTCAATTAACTTGTTTAATGTCTGTGAGAATTAAATTTTAGTTAAGGTGTCAGGATTTCCAGAACATTTTCAAAAGTTATGTTGAATAAGTTAATTTTTTGTGCAAAAGTCTATGTATTGAATCCTCCCATGTTAAGGGTTAGATATTCAAAAAATATATACCTTATACAAGTGAAATACCTAAGGTATTTGTAAAAAAAAAAATTTGTTTTGATTTATTCATTTTGATAAAAGTTATGACAGTTTTAAGTAAAATAAGTTTAAAAAATTACAAAATTAACCGTTTTTATGAATTGTAATTTTTTTTGAGGAATTCACCCATTTAATGATAACAAGAAAATTATTTTTAATTTTGAGGGAAATATCTTCAATTAGATATGATTTATATTAACAAAAAAAAAACATAGTAAAATTAATACCTTTTATCTTCACATTGAATCTAAAAAGATGATAAAAATTTGCATTGTGTGATTCTTTTTTCGATTCAATATATTTTTATATTAATTTAAACATATATTAAAAAGTGTTTAACTATCTTGGGTATTATTAAAAACTATATAAAGATCAAAACTAATTTAAATTATTTATTCATTTAGTCGGTCATGTCCTATTGGCTATTAATGGTATTCCTGTGTCTGGAAGAAAACTAGAAGATGGCAAAGATGCATTAGATATGTTAGATGATGCTACCAATTATCCATTAAATTTAAAATTTGGGAGACCAAAAATGACTGTTAATGAAAAAATATTTTTAGCTAGTATGTTCTATCCATTGTTTGCTATTGCATCTCAATTAAGTCCAAAACCAAGAAGTTCAGGGATTGAAACATTGGAAGCTGATACATTTAAGTTACAATGTTTTCAAACATTAACTGGTAAGATTAATTATTACTAACAAAAAATAATATTAATTTATAAGGCTAAGTACCACCTTTATTAACCATGTTGAATATATATTTTGAGTAAGTAGTAGGAAAACCAAACAATTTCAAAAATTTCATATGTATTAGTTTCAAATATATATCAATTCAAAAAACTAACTAGTATAGTCAAATATCATTTGAATTGTTATCAAAAATTGTTGCCTGATTAAAATTAATGTTTATTTGTTTAGTATGACTCTCAAATATCAGATTTCGTAACATCATTAATTTTTCCTATATTTTAGCTTCGATGCGAAGCTGAGAAGGTATTGGTTTTACTATGATGTGTTTTTTTTTTTTTTTTTTTTTTTTTTTTTTTT